ATTACACATGATAAAAAATAGTGACAAAGTGTTAAAATGCTTTAGGATTAGTCATGGATCATTACCTACAAACAGGATCACTTGTAGCCCCTGTTTATCCAGGTGAAACACTTCTAGTTGTATAAGGAGGATGTAGGGGAGTGTGAATAGGGGGTGTGTCAGCAAGCAGTGATGAGAGCAGTGCCTCAGGTAACACATCCAGAGTGTCGTCTGTACTGAGGTTGCCATAGGTGTTATCTCTGTAATACCTAGTAATCACTAGTATCATTACATAATAACACCAGCTTTTTAGCATCTCAACTCACAGGTGTTTGTTTACCAGGACCAATTTCACATATACCCTTGTCAACTTGAAAAGAAGTTATGTGAATTTTTAAAAAAGATTTAAAATGAAAGATTTGAAAACAAAAAATTCTGTATTTTGTTTGTAAGGAAGTTTACTTAAATCTAATATATGTTGCTGTCATTTTAATTTTGAATTTCCATAAAGTTCAACAAACTGATGAAATCTATATGTTTTAAAGCTAACCAATTTGTGGACATAAGAGTTCTGTTCAACAAATTTCTTATCAATAAACCACAAATTACAATAAGCCTGGTCAGCTTACATAGGACAGATGAAAGGGTATTAGATTTTATCCTGTAGATAAAAAGTGGAAATTCCTCTGTTAAATATTATTTCCCAGCATTTTTTAATGAGCTGACATTATTTGTATGTATAACTTTGAATGCTTAACTGCACTGCAAAACATTGCACAAGAGTTTATCTTCATTAAATTGTATGTTATTTTAACTTTTAAGACACACAACATATTTAGAAATTTTTGTCCCCTTACTAAAATCTCAAAACTCAGTATGTCACTAACCCATCACCATTCCATGTTACTTCCTAACCTGTATATCAGATTAGGAATCATGACCTGTAGAGTTTATAGTCCCTTACAACCTATAAAAGTTCATACAGGGAAGCAGGCCTCTGGCCTTACTTCACTTCCTAACCTGTGAATCGGTAAGTTTTTTACAGTAATTGGTTGTGATTTTAAGTCCCTTACAATCCATGGGAGTTCATACAGAAGGGAAAGCAGGTCTCGGCTCCTTCACTTTCTAACCTGTGGATTGGGAAGATTTTGAGAGTAATTAGAGGTGATTTTTAAGTTCCTCACAACCTATGGGAGTTCATACAGTAGCGAAAGCAGGTCTCGACTCCTTCTTCACTTCCTAGATAACAAGTTATTTGGAAGAGTTTGACAAGAACCTGAAGGGTTTTAGTCTTCCACATATATATTATATACTTATAAATAAAATTGAGTCTTACAATTCAGATCTCTCAGATTTATTACAGGAATGAGATATATGCTAGTAGGGGACTGTTCTACAATCTACAGTGATTTCTGACTAAGGAGGGAAATCTGGCACTACATGTCTCCTAATAAGATCCCAACAGGCAATAAATCAATGATCTCACTAATGTCTACGCACTGCCCTGATCACAATAGGATCCTTCATTGATCCAAGTAACCTGAACAGGAGTTGACGGTGTTATACACAGACCTCTGAAATGTTTCATTTGATGAAAATATATCATAAAATTCACTCATACATGGTAACCTTCCAGATGTGAGGTTTTATACCTCATTACCTCCTGCATCTGTGAAAATCTCATGAAATGGTATATAAAATATACCTCTACCCAGACATAATTTACTTAACAGTGCAATCATATAGTTACAGACTATCCCCTTACCCCTTTTAACTTCTCTCCTAATCTTATAATTTTATAATACCATAGCATTGTCCTTGACCCACTCTCATACCAAAATCTATCTTACCACTCCCATAACCTGTCCTCACACTACAATCTACCATATTTTCCCGGTTAAAAGCCATCAAGACCATTAGTGATAAATTCAATATAAGTTTGCAAATTAATCATAGACAGATAGTCCTTTATTTAATGATATATTTCAAAAAAAGTAAAACAGCAAAGATTGAACCTCGTCTGGCTTGGGTGCCTTCGCAGATTGTCTATGCACTGATACAGGGCTTGATGTTACGTAGGGTTTACTAAACAATCTCTCCATTGGTGTCTGTTCTGTTAAATGTTAACAAAGGCCCTTGCATGCTGACCAAATTCATCTAGTCCTCTATTATTTTTTCTTGTAAGTTACATGAAGCCATTCATATTGTAAACAAGCTTGGTCGTCGTTATAGAATCTGACCTATAACCCGATGACCTATTGATCCCAAGATGCAAAACGCTTTTGTAAAATTCCGCTATTGCTTCGAAGTTCACAAGATATTATTGTGATTAAAAAGAATGATTAATTAAATCCAAAAGAACGTTCTTTTTATTTCAATCTGCAAATCATCCCGTATATGATTGCAAATAAAGGTTCAAGATGATCTTTTTCAGTCACAAACATATGACAGACTGGTATTCAGAAAAAACCGTCTCAGTACCAGCGTGCTGGAACGCTTCTTGTTTTCTTTTCTGTTTTTTGTTTTGTTTTTTTCATCCTGCTGGATTTACATCCACATATAAGCCAAATCAGTATATAAGCTGCATGCCTGACCCACGAGGAAAAAAGGTACGGCTTATAATCCTCAAAATATGGTACCTTACCTCCTCCTTGACCCACCCTTACACCACAGTCTGCCATACAAACGCCCCCCCCCCCCCACTACAATCTACATTACTGCCTCCATGACCCATCCTCACACCACATTTAACCTTATTATCCCCATGCCACATCTTCACATCCCAATCTACCTTACCACTCCCATGCCCCATCCTCACATAAAAATCTATCTTACTACTCCCATGCCCCATCCTCACATAAAAATCTATCTTACCACTCCCATGCCCAATCCTCACATCACAATCTACCTTACCACTCCCATGCCCCATCCTCACATAAAAATCTACCTTACTACTCCCATGCCCCCGTCCCCACACCACAATCTACCTTGCCAACTCTCCATGCCCCATCCTCACATCAAAATCTACCTCGCTACCCCCATGCCCCATCCTAACACCACCATATACCTTACCATCCCTCTGACCCACCCTGACGCTATAATCTACCTTACCATCCCTCTGACCCATCCTCACACCACAATCTACCTTACCATCCCTCTGACCCATCCTCACACCACAATCTACCTTATCATCCCTCTGACTCATCCTCACATCACAATCTACCTTACATTCCCTTTGACCCATCCTCACATCACAATCAACCTTACCTTCCCTTTGACCCATCCCCATATCACAATCTACCTTACCACCCTCATGCTCCATCCTCACATCAAAATCTACCTCACCATCTCCATGACCCATCCCCTCCCAATGATTTATCTTACTATCCCACAGGATGCTTTTCCAAAGCTTCATAAAACCATACTGATCCACAAAAGGTCTTAGTAAGAGATACAATGCCTTTGATATAAAATGTCCTGCATTTCACAAGTTAGGGGACAAAGTACTAGAAAGTAGCAATGTTTTTTTGCATGTGCATGTTATCACTTAACGTATGTAACCTTCCTTGGATATAAACTGTTACTTGATTTTCTTTAGACTCTATCAGGTAATAATTATTCCTTTTTAATAAGTATCATAAAATTAAACTTCAGGTTAAAGAAATCAAAACAATATTTGTTTGTTAAACATGGTATAGTTTATAATGGCCACCTGTTACATGTGGTGTCAAGGACATGTGACTTTTCAGACACACGATTTCACTCTCCTATGTGCGAGACAGGTAAAATGAAACACGAGTCAGAGGCTCTCTGTGCCGTGTTAATACTAGCACCAGAAATGCTTGGAGTCATCTTCACAAAGTTATGTCCTTCAAGGTAATGTAATTTCAATAAATTTTCAAATTATATGTCTAAATCTTCAATTTCGAACCCTGATACAACATAATACTTTAATTATCACAAATTCTATTACATTACTATTCCCTTTCGACAGAATTATTCAAACTCTGTTTTAAACAGGTCATTTTAGAAAAAAGCATTCCCTGTAGATGTCCATATCTTAAGCAGTACATATACATAAGTGTATATATAATTTGTTTCTTAAGCAGAAAATATGCATTTTAGCAACATAGATTTATGTTAATGCTCAGCACGGCACAAAAAATGTCTAAATCTACATACTCCAAGTACAAGTAGACACACAATTTAACTGACAAAAGCACAACAAAAGGTGACCGTAACATCCTCGTCCCTCAAACCAAACCCATTTGCTCCAATCTGATACAACTGTTCTCTGATGATTTTGAAAATATATCTATCTAATTGCATCACCACAAATATCAGACAGAAAGGCAGATCTGTCACATGAACAGTTTAAAACTGGAGGTGATCGATAATGAATTTAGAAATTGTCATCAATGTTGTTGATGCAATGATATAGAATGATAATGAACAGATGAACATAAAAAGTGGTTAATAAAATTGGAGCATTGAATAATTGTAGGGATTCTTGAGTGACGAAAGTGTTGACAATGCAAGTGATTTTCCTACTTTTCGAAAATGTTTTACATTTTGTAAAACTCTTCACTACTAATATATGTATTTTGTCAACAATTCAAAATAACATTTATAAAGTTTCCAACAGTTCAAATTACAGTTATCAACCGTATTGTCAACGTAGCTAAATGCTGAGGACAATCAACGTTTCATTGCTGTACGATAAGCTACTCAACATTCTGTTGTTCGCATCCTCTCTGTTTTGAATGTTTTCAAACAAAGGACTCACACAAAAGTGAAGCCAAAATGCCTAAAAATAACTAGGATTGAAAACACTTTCTCTTTAGTGAACACAGATTTTAGTAATAAGATCAATGTATTTTCAAACACTTTTCCCAAATTAGAAAATTTCACTGAAAATTATTTACTGTTTTGTTATTCCAGACATTAGGAAAATCACATGTATATATACACATATACATAAAGATATAATTAGTGATGAGATAAGAAGATGAGATAAATACCGAGAGCAGCGTCGCCATTCGAGTCGTCCGTCATCATGTGCTGGAGCTGTTCGGGTGTGCCTACAAAATAGGGATAATGATGTGGCGATGATGTAGGATAGCAAGGGCATGAAATAACGTGATGAGGACTGGTGAACGATATACTGGTCATACTGAACAATTTTTAGTACTGTTTTATTCTTGAGATGAAAAATGATACAAATATTTTGTGATTTTCAAAAAGGTATATAACTTTCACTACAGAAACAATTTTCCCAGTAAGTGCATAGATCACATTTAATAATAATTGAAAAGCATTTTTTCTGTATGTATTAAACAAAAAAGAACAAAAATAAATTATCTAATAATGAGTAGTGATGCTTATTAATAAATCTTCTAATGACTATTAAAGATTCTCCATTGAATTATCTCCCCTTAAATTCTTTTGACATGACCAATAATAACGATAAAAACTAAAGTCAAATTTTGACATGAAAAAATTAATAAATTTTTTTTTCTTCCAGCAAAATATGATAAAACAATTAATGAAATAAACTGATCTATCAATGATAGATTTGGCTACAAACCAAGTTCTATATGCAATGATCCTTACAATAAATTACAGATTTTTCCAAGTGTCTACATATTCAGGGATTCTCCTGGTTTTATTTTCATCCATTATGTTACAAAAAAGACCACATAAGATAAGATAACCTTTTTAATTCCTCTCTCATTTCTCAAACTTAATTAAAACATAAATCTTTCTTACATCTTCTATTCAATAAATCTTGACAATGTTTAAGAAAAATATAAAAAGAAAAAAAACCAAACTTTTCATTTTACTTTAAAATCTGGATTTTTCCTTCTGAAATTTCAAAGAAATTTGATTAAATCTTACAGCATACTTCATTGTTGAATTAAGAAACATTAATTAATTCAAAATAAAGACAGGAAAACCTTGAAATGAAGATGAAAATCAACTTGTGACAAGTGAGAAAGCAACTGGACAGGAACGTGAGGAAGATGTGGAAAATGAATGATAAAACAAACATAACCTTAGATTGGTAAAGACAAGGTAATGGATACATATCACATCCGGTGTACCATGAACACAAGGATCCATGAAGATTATATATCGACAAATAGGTCTTTCAGACTTCCAGACAAACTCCATGTAACCAGAACCAACTTTACCCAAAACGTCTTTGACAACCCATCGAAGAATATCAAACAATCACACACATGTGATGCCACTTTTATCATATCCCTCAAAATAATTCAGTCTCTGATAATCCATATTCATAAAGTACATGACTTTATACCCTCTTAAAAAGCTGTTCTGAATTATGATACAACGAATATGTATAGACTGACACATAAAATCATCAGCCAATTCTATTAGAAATATTTTTCAGAACAAGCTCTTTAGAAGTTGCTGACAAATCATTTCAGCATCGACACATCTTGTTAGATTTTACAATCACTTCAATAGAAATAGAATATAAACTAAATAAGCAAATCTGTAAATATTACTCACAACAGCCAACAGGATCTCCAAACAAAACAATTTTTCAGTGTCTTCAAATTTATCATTATATCAATGAATATTTGAAATTTCACCATTTCTGTAATATTCCCCCTCTTTCTCCCTTTCTGTTATGTCAAGGTGCAGGTATGTCCGTGATAATGAGTCAGTCAGTGTCATATCTGTGTCGTATGTTGTTATTATACATATATATATTCTTATAAAATAAGGAAAGCATCTTTTAGTCGTAAATACTGTGAAATAAAGAAATAATGAGGCCATCACAGAAAGAGTGGCTCCCATTGAAAGACTCCCACTCCCACTGGAGAAACTCCATCTTGATTTACGTGGTACCAGGTCAACTTATCATGTTTGATTATAAGAAGCTTATGGACAAAAGTGAATCGCGAGAACTGAATGAACAGTTAACAAAGTAAAGGCCATACAGATTTCTAATAAAATTCAAATAAATTCAATTTCCGACACATCCAGGGATCTTTTTTTAAAGTAATTCTTGACAATTTAAACACCCATGAGAACAAATGAGAGAATTTGAAAGATCACAGGTATTTTTCAAATTTCAAGATTTTTTTTTGGTAATTAGGTCTTATAAATATACAAAATGGATGATCATCATTTAATTCATGTGAACTTCAAAATGGTTACTCCTGAAAGACAGCAAGTATAGAACTTTTTTTTTGTAAATTGTATTTAGACTTTGTAACAGAACAAGATTACATATGTCTATACCGTTCTCAACATTATATATTATATCTGTGTAGCAGTGCCCAACATATATGAAATATGAGTGAGAAGTCCATCAATTGCCTGGTGTAAACCAGTGAGGCATCTATATGGAAGAAGCTTTTGAAATACACTGATAACCACTAGCAGAGACAATGTGCCATTATTCCTATCAAAGCAGACTACTGGCTATTGGCCAGCAGATAAAAAAAGATTTGTACAAAGTAATAATTACAGTGTGAAAGTCACAGGGACAAAATACTTTGTGATAAACCCATCAAAGAGCTTAGATCTGATGGTGTCATGCAATGCAGGATGTCTAAACACCAAGGAAAATGTGGCTCATTGTTTTCTGTTTGTAGGCCTGTTGATTTTCTGTAGTGTGATCGGGTGGGTCCCAAAATGTTCATGGCCCTGGTAAATGAAAATCACTTAACTCAGTTTTGGGATTTTACACAAATGATGTGATATCATAGTGCCTGAATGTATGATATCAAATGTTTCGTAATGTCAAGTGAAGATTTTATTTTACCCGGTGAAATTTTTCAAAGTGCTCTTATAAGCTCTGATGCAAATTATCAAAAGTACAGAAATATGACATGAGCAAGAGACCTAGAAAGAGTACAGTATGACTGTGGGTGCAGATGTTGTAGATGTTGGGTGTAGTGTGGGTAAGTACAGTTCCTTTCAGGAGGTGTTGGGTGTACAGTGAATGTATGGGTGTAGTTATGGTACAAAGTGCTGGGAGTACAGTGTAGGTATGGGTGTAGTTATGGTACAAAGTGCTGGAAGTACAGTGTAGGTATGGGTGTAGTTATGGTACAAAGGTGCTGGGAGTACAGTGTAGGTATGGGTGTAGTTATAAGGAGATGCTGGGAGTACAGTGTAGGTATGGGTGTAGTTCTGGTACAAAGGTGCTGGAAGTACAGTGTGTGTATGGGTGTAGTTATAAGGAGATGCTGGGAGTACAGTGTAGGTATGAATGTAGTTATGATAAGGAGGTGCTAGGTGTACAGTGTGTGTATGGGTGTAGTTATCATGGCCTGGAGGTGCTGGGCTCTGTGCCTCAGACAGGTAATAAATGTATACTAGTATACAGGCGTTATGTGTGCATTCTACACACAGTCAATTGTAATTGTAGTCAATTACACACCTCTGAAAATGTATACCCCAGCTGTCCAGTAGCAAATTTAGAAAACACCACTATTACTGGACAAAGTGTTTCCTCCAGGTAAAACATCAGTACTCAAAATACCCTGTGGCTATATACCAGTCACTTTCAGGAGGAGCACAATACTTCCATCTAAGTATAGTCAATATCTACAACGAATGTATGTTATCCACACATGAAACAACTAGAGTATGTAGGTGATACACTCATCAGTCCCTAAAACATGTACAGGTTCTACAGAGCACTCCACACTTTCGTAGTTTATGTGACCTTGGTCAAGGTCAGCCTTGTGTGATGTGCCCAAGGGTTAGGGTGTCTCTTGCTGTTAAGGCTATGTGACCTTACTTGACCTTACACAGGTAAGACTTGTCTGCGAAGGACTTTGATCAGCTCTGGCTTCTCTGTAGATATATACATGTATATCAGATTGTCCACATGTTGTCAGTCTCATACCTGTGGTAATTAGTCCCCTGTTGTACACACTCATAACTTCATTGAAAGGAGGGTTGTTGGGGTACAATTGGTTCCCACAACAGGTGATAATGATTGCTACATCATCCTAATTATCGGTAATTGTATCTACCTACAAGTCATGCAATACAATATTTCATATTTATATTAGGATGCATGTAAACTAGTTATTATCAAAATTGTTTGATAAATGTAATTGTTTTTTGTAAGAGCAGCCTTGTCCACCTTTGACCATAATAGAAGATATGATAGGTTATCATGCACACACATCTCCCACATGGTCTCTATTGACCAGAAGTGAAACAGAATCAATGTTTGCTGATTGATTTCCCCAAATTAGTTAACTTTTTTTAATGTTTAAATTCCAGGTAAACCCACTCACTTTTAATTCATTTAAAGATATATATTTATCATATACTTCACAAAACACAAATGAAGTGATAGTTAAAATTGAAATCTGATGTTTTATCCTTCCCCATTTATAGAGAATTTGGATTTTATAGGTTTATATTATCATAGGATTTTCTTATTACAGAAATAGCAACTTCAAACAGTTACACAAACTAATTTTAACACGATTCCCAGTTTTGGCATTATACAGATTCGGGTTCAGATAGGATAGTTGTTCTGTTGAGCACAGTTTAGATAAAAATTATATAAACTACAGATGTGACGGTACAGTCACACCAACCCAACCAAAGCTGTAATGAATCAATGTCTAATTATTAGAATGCAACAGGTTATTTGCCTAGAAAAACCGATCAGGTCACCATATACTTGTGTAATCAATAACTTCCTTTCCCACTCAGACTGCTGTAAGGTGTTCCTCATCAGCATCCATCACCATCATCAGACTTCTCCAACTTAATATCTGTACAGAACTGCGGCCTTCTCCAACTTAATATCTGTACAACACTGCAGCCTTCTCCAACTTAATATCTGTACAGAAGTGCGGCCTTCTCCAACTTAATATCTGTACAGTACTGCAGCCATCTCCAACTTAATATCTGTACAGCACTGCAGCCTTCTCCTGCTTAATATCTATACAGTACTGCAGCCTTCTCCAACTTAATATCTGTACAGCACTGCAGCCTTCTCCTGCTTAATATCTGTACAGCACTGCAGCCTTCTCCTGCTTAATATCTATACAGTACTGCAGCCTTCTCCAAC